GAGTGTCTGCCGTGGTCCTCGGCCCGGGGGCGCGGGGAGCCGGTCTGACCCGTGTCTGTGGAGTGGGGCCCTAGAGAGTGGGAAGATGGCGATGACGCTGTTGGAAGACTGGTGCCGGGGGATGGACGTGAACTCCCAGAGGGCCCTGCTGGTCTGGGGGATCCCGGTGAACTGCGACGAGGCCGAGATCGAAGAGACCCTGCAGGCGGCGATGCCCCAGGTGCCCTACCGCGTGCTGGGGAGGATGTTCTGGCGGGAAGAGAACGCGAAGGCGGCCTTGCTGGAGCTCACGGGCGCCGTGGACTACGCGGCCATCCCCCGGGAGATGCCGGGGAAAGGCGGGGTCTGGAAGGTGGTCTTCAAGCCCCCGACTTCCGATGCGGAGTTCTTAGAGAGGCTGCACCTCTTCCTGGCGAGGGAGGGGTGGACCGTGCAAGACGTTGCCCGTGTCCTGGGGTTTCAGACCCCCGCTCCGGCCCCGGGCCCCGACATGCCAGCGGAGATGCTCAACTATATCCTGGATAACGTGATCCAGCCTCTGGTGGAGTCCATTTGGTACAAGAAGCTGACGGTGTTCTCGGGGCGGGACGTCCCGGGGCCCGGGGAGGAGACCTTCGATTCCTGGCTGGAGCACACGAATGAGGTGATAGGGGAGTGGCAGGTGTCCGATGTAGAGAAGAGGCGGCGGCTGATGGAGAGCCTCCGAGGCCCCGCCGCGGATGTCATCCGCATCCTCAAAACCAACAACCCTGCCATCACCACCGCCGAGTGCCTCAAGGCGCTGGAGCAGGTGTTCGGGAGCGTGGAGAGTTCTAGGGATGCGCAGGTCAGGTTTCTGAACACCTACCAGAACCCGGGGGAAAAGTTATCGGCTTATGTCATTCGTCTGGAGCCGCTGCTGCAGAAGGTGGTGGAGAAGGGGGCCATAGATAAAGATAACGTGAACCAGGCGCGCCTGGAGCAGGTCATTGCCGGAGCCAACCACAGCGGGGCCATTCGGAGGCAGCTGTGGCTGACCGGGGCTGCGGAGGGGCCGGCGCCTAACCTCTTCCAGTTGCTGGTGCAGATCCGCGAGGAGGAGGCCAAGGAGGAGGAGGAGGAGGCGGAGGCTGCCCTCCTGCAGTTAGGCCTGGAGGGGCACTTCTGAGACGAGGGAAGTGGGCGTGTGAGCGCAGACCTAGGTAACAGCTGCTTTGTGCTGTCTTACAGGTGTGTCTCTTAGTCAAGTCCTGTTTCTGGGGGGAAGTCAAGGCCTGCCTATGCATGTAACATTAGTGAAGTTGTGGGAGGGAGCACCCTGAGCTGCTGTGTCATGCTAGCATGCTGAAATGCCAGGTAACGGCTTGGACACAGGCGCTCAGTGCAAGCTGTCATCTTGACATCATCAGTTGTGAAAAATGTGAAACTTGTGAGACTTCTCATCGAGATATTTAAATGTGAAATTGCATGTTCAGATGTTTAGTTCAGAGCCTGGCTAACACAAGAAGTGTTCAGTAAAAATAGGAGCTGTTATTAATAACGTGAATAGTTTTTCTGTTTGATGCAAATTGTTCCTGATTTATATTGATAAGAAGAAATGTGAAGTAGATATTCTTAGTGGTTCAACTTTACAGTGCTGTTCCTTATTTTTCATCTGTAAACATCAGGATCAGTTTAATTGGAAAGTATCCTGAGACTGCAAAATAGGGTATTAGAAAAGTACAATTACAGAACTGTGTAAACTAAACTTTTCACTGTACAAGATATAAATCGCATGGAAGGTTAATGTGAACCAGTTACAGTATCCATTCCCCCATTTCAAATCCTTGTTGATTTGTATTTCTCTTTGTGCCGGTTCTAAGAGTTCTAAGTTTGTAGTTATCAAATACATGTACACAAATAAAATATATTTAAAAATTCTAGTCTCATTTTCTGATGTATAAAAATTTTTTAGTGTAATTAAAATCTGTATCTTTTCTTAGACTTCAAGTCACTAAAGAAAATCAAACCTCAAGTAAATATGAACTCACTATAAAATATTTGGAAATCCAGAAATGGGGTTTAGAGGTTACCCAGCATTTTTTCCTCCCCTTTTAAGTTCCTTTCAGCTAAAAGTGTTTTGCTGCAGGGATAACTCATACCTGTGTAAAATGAATGTTTCAGTTTTACAGCAGCCATTTTATATCAAGAAGATATAAAAAGGGAAATATGGCTTAAAAACATGTTTATTTGGCTACAGAGGTTCAGTGACTGAAGATGTCCATCTTTTGAGATCCAGGTCCTAGTCAATCCAGAAGTGGTTACATAAACATAACGTTCAGTGGAGATTTCCCCCCAGTAACAAGACTTGAAAATTAAAGCCAACCAACCAAATAAATAATAAGACGATAGCCAACCTTTATAACAATCATAAGGTAAAAATTATTCATAAAGGCTAGTATTTGTATATGTTCTAACAGATGTCTCTATACATTCATCTCACTTCCTTCACACTCTTCTCTTTGCACATCTCCACATATTTGACTCCCACAACAGAAAGGCAAATCTTCACTCCCCACAGACATGTTGTCATTCCCCTTCTCCCCATCCTGCTGCCCGCCCCTCCCCTACACACACACACAATGTGCTGGATACACATACACTCCCCTCACCTCTCACAATCGTATTTCATACGTTCACTCCCACCTTCCCAAGAACACTATCATAAATATGCTTCCCCCTCTATACCAGTATCCCACCCCTGTCATACATTCCCATTTCTCCACATACATGTTCACATTCCTACTCTATATATACACTCATAAAAACTAATGGGGTTATTTTTTAACCCAATATGTTATGGGCATCCTATATCTGCACATAGGAATGGATATATTTATAGGTGCAGAGTTGATTGCATTGTAGGAGGGAGGGTCATCACCTAGGATTCTTGTATTATATATAACAATTGTATATATGTGTACACCCACAAATACTTAATACAACACATGTATATGGTATAAAACAATATCAGGATTTTAGATGTCCATCTTTTGTTCTAGAAAATAATGAACTATTTATAATTCAAATTAAGGTTTTCTCTATGGTTTCATTACAATCTGCTTTTTAAAGGACAATAGCAAGAAATATATCCTTATAACCAAAGAACTACGGAATAAAGAAGTAGACTGTCAAACTACAGGGGGAAGATAGGGGAGGGTTGGGGGTTAAGAGA